GTTTCAGTTTGATTTAAATGTGTTAAATTTGTCATTTGGTAGAATAAAAACTAATATGAAAGCAACATAACAAGATGTTTGTTTGTCCTGAACAGGAAGTGGGAATCACCGATACTTCATGGGCTATCTGTTCTTCCTGCTCTGCATGATCTGTTGGATGATCTACGGCTGCATCTCCTGTAAGAACAACACGCCATCCTTTTTCTTTCTCTTTGAGTCGTCCTCTAACTCATCTGTTTAAATTCCCGTCCCAGACTGGAGGGTGCACTGTGCCACCAGTTACTCCAAGGATGGGTTTTGGCTCTACCTGACCCAGATCGCCTCCTGTTCGCCCTGGATCTTCTGGATGTTCGTCAACAGCATCTTCCACTTCATGTGGGTGGCCGTGCTGATCATGTGTCAGCTCTATCAGGTACAGCTTCACTTGAAAACAACAAGTGTTTTAGTGTTTTACACATCTGGATGTCTTAAAGTCTACGGAGGCAGCAATCACATCATTCTTTGTACAAGAACGTAAAACTTGTTTTCCTTTTTCCAAGGGTTTACAGACTTTGTTTATCGGTGTGTTTTGTAGATCGCTGCACTTGGAATCACCACTAATGAGAGGATGAATGCTCGAAGATACAAGCACTTTAAAGTCACGGCCACGTCCATCGAGAGCCCATTCAAGTAAGTCCCTTCCTGCTGTCCCATTTACCGTATTTTTTGCCCTATAAGTCATGATCTTTTACATAATTTGCATACCCTGTGACTTATATGCCGAAGTGACAGATTTTTTTTTTTTCCACATTTAAAAACCAATTTTTGGCTGAGATATGACCGTTTTCATTCATTCTGGCTGAAAATATTGAACAATACCATTTTCAGCCACTAGATGGCACTCGAGTAGTATGGCATGCCGTTGTGTCATGTAATAGGTAAAAGTGACTGTTAATGACACAATCAGCTTGCCATAGACTGCCACCTTCATCCAGCTCGCCTGCAACAACCGTCAAATCAGCTTCATTTTGCTGCACCGCCCCGGAGAAATGCAGCTGATTTGACCATTGAAGTGATTTTATTAAGGAAAAGTTCACCTGAGTCACACCTTTACTATAATTTCTAGCAAACAAAGAATTGTTTTTAAGGGTTAATCTTGTTAAAATCCTCCCGTGCACGCTCCTGCGGCTGCCTTTTGGCAGCCAATCAGATTTGGCACAACACCGGCCCACGTTTCTGGGTGGTCAGTGGTGACGCGTAACAGATGCAACGTGTACGGCAGAAAATACGGTAAACCAGAATCACCATAACCTCTGGGCTAAAGTTGTGTTGTTTTAAATCTGTGGTTCTCACACTGTTCATGGAAGAGAAGAACCCCCAACAACGTGTGTGTATTTCACTTCCAGCACAGCTCTCTGCCTCTGCTCGGCCTACACGTCCTCTGCCACGGTGTCCACCAAGGCTCAGGCTGCAGTCACCCCGAGCAGAGCCGAGTCCAGCCCATGTAAAAATGCCAATAGGAGAGTCATAATTATTTTTTTTGTTGTTCTCTCGTAGCCACGGTTGCATCAGGAACCTGATCGATTTCTTCGAGATCCGCTGCTGCGGCCTGATCCGGCCCGTGACGGTGGACTGGACCACGCAGTACACAATAGAGTACGACCAGACGTCCGGCTCCGGCTACCAGCTCGTGTAAAGAAGGAACAGGAGGATGAAGAGGAAGCAAAGGAGGGAGGGGGGCGGAGTTTAGGAGTGGATGGATCATAAAAAAAAGTTTGAAGTGGTCCCCCACCCCCTGGGCGTTCATATCTGGGCCGTGCTGTTCTCTGGAGCGCTTTTATTTCTTTTAGTTTGTGTTCGCAGCTCATCTCTACTATCGATCAAAAGACTTTGGGCCAAGAAGCATGCAGTCACAGGGCACCCCCTTCCCTTTTTGTCCCTCCCCAGCACCCTTACCTACCATTAGTGTCCACCTCTCCCCTCCTGGGCCTGTTGGACGGTGTGTTGCTGCCAAACTCAAACGGAGGGAACAAGAGGTCTTTGTTTTTATTTCTTTTTCAAAATGAAATCTTGAGACTTAAAGCTGCACAGCAGCATCGAGGAGACGGTGTCAACACCCCCCCCCCCCCCCCACACACACACACACACACACTTCATATCTTATTTATGGCGTCCCTGTGGACGTGCCCTGTCCATACGTGTTCAACGCTGTCGATCAGGAACTGTTTCTGCGTTGATGAATCATGTCGGGACGTTGAAGCTTTTTAGGTTCATAGCAGCAGGAGACGTCTCGTGAAGCTCAGAGGATTAGCCGACGCTGAACTCATCACATAAAAGTGTTTTAGATTCCAGGTGGAACTGCCAGAGGACCCCCCCCCCCCCCCCCGGTGGGGTTCCTTCAGCACGTTCAGCGCTTGATATCCTGCAGACAATGTGATATATTTATTTTAAAGCTATTTATAGAGAAAGTATGTTCCTAGCGCAATCATTTTAACGTTTCACACGGTTTTAGCGGAGTAGGTTTTATAAGGTGGAGAAGTTGTAGAACTGGTACAGCGAGTGTATTTATTAAGAGAAATACGGACAGACGAGTTTACGAGGAAACTTCATTCCCCGCGTTTCTCTCCGGCTGTAAAGTCGTGTTTGTTTGGTGTTTTGTCTCGAACGTTGCACTGATCGTTTTTCTTTTCGTTGTTTTTTGTATTTTCATTTCTTGTGTGGTGATTTTGAACAGGAGGCCTCACGCCAGCACTTCCATTGTTTTGCAGAAAGGAAACAAAAAGGGGGCGGGGCTCTTCAGACGACTCCCGCGTTCTCTGCACCGAGATGTAAAGAATGTGTATTTGTACATAAAACAGTCTGTTTTCTCCTCTTCGTCAGTGTTAGTTGAAGGTGCTCCTGAACTTTAATTTTTTTTATTTTGTAGTTGGGCGGGGGGCGGGGTTCCTTCAACTACAAAGGAGACTATAATCCATGTTGTATGACTGTAGCTTTTAGTGGCGTCCCACACTGCTGTTTATACGCATATTACCCCCCCTCCCCACAAAATACCTGAAATCTCCAGATAAACTCCACTGCATGTACGATACTTGGGACCGCTGGGCTCTCGGCGCCCTCATTGACGCCATCTTGGTCACCATGGTGACAGCCTGGCAAGCCACGTGTCTGTATATAGTGAATGTTAAATATATTTGCAAGTACTTTTCTGCATTACGTCCATTTTTTTTTTCTTGACCCAATCCCTTTCACATCCAGTGTGTTAGTGAAAGTCCTTCAGGGTGCCAGATCCTTATGTACAAGTGTGTAAATATATCTGAATGTTTCATGCTTGTGGACTCAAGTCAAGTTTTTTTGTTTTTTAATTTTCATATTGCTGGGTTTGTTATACCACTGGATGTACAAATTGTAAAGCAAAGATACAGCGAAACTTAAGGCAGACGCCAATTTGTTTTTTTTCTAAAAGTGGAAATGTGATCATGCGATAGTTTTAATGGTAGGAGGGGGAAGGCCTCTGAAGTGTTTGCATCATCAAAAGGAGACGGTTCTGTCATCGTTCCATGTTTCAAAGCTTCGTCAAACTAAACTTGGACGTCACCGCTGGCCTACAAACTCACAGCAGCCGGGTTTCCACGGCGGGTTCGGCCCGCTCAAAAGAAAAATCATGTGTTTCAGTGCCAGCGTCAAAATATTGCCAGAAAAGTATTTAAGACTAAACTGAAGGAAGTGGACCTTAAGTTCTTTAACTCGCCACCAAGTAAAGACCATTGCTCTTGTCTGTTAGCAAAATGGAAATTTTATTGAAACGCTGAACATAATCATTGGATGCAAGTGGTAACATTTTGTAGTCAACGTGATTGAAGATGGCCGCCACCGCCACTGACCATGCAAAACATGAAAGTTGCTGTAGCCCAGTCAACTTGATTGCCCAAAGCTTTGGTGTACAAGATCCTTTTTTTACCATTTTGAATTTTTGTGTTGTAGTGATGCTTCTTGGCAGTAAATCTTATACGGTTGAGAAGTTTATTTCCTTGAAATGGTGCCACGTTTGTTAGAAAAATATATTTGTGGGTCGCGCAGCAGAGTTGAGTATAATCAAGAAAAACTTGCCAATTTTTTTCTACCGACTCCTGTGTTGGTGTCTCGTTGGGTTGAGTGACTGAAGTCTGAGAAAACTAGACGTACTGGCAATTTAACCATTTAGTGATTGACTCGGTTGCATGTGGAAGAACCATATACAGCCACCGCAGCCCGGCACCTCGTACTACTCGCCGCCTTGGATAACATTAGTCTCAAACACAGACACGGAGTATGGATTTTTAAATATGATCAAAGTTTCTGGTTGTCTGGAAAGATATTTGAAGCTATTTTCACACATTTCAGATGTTTGAGGTTCTTATTGGGGACGACTGAAAAATTCTGAGTTCTGCAGCGATTGTCTCATATCTCCGAGGACTAGTTGAAATAAAATACCGTTACACTTGTGTGCGTTATGTGTTTTACGGTTAATCCGGTAGAAGTGGACCCGTAGCCCCCTCGGGTACAATAATGAAAGAAGACGCAGGCAGCGGTGGAGTTCACTTCCTCCGGTTTAGTCTTGAATGATCTTTTTCTCAACTTTAATTTTGACGTTGGTTTATCCTGAGTAACACAAACATCACTTCCTACTTGAGTGGTCCTAATCGTTTATCATGACCTGGCTGCGTTTCATATCCGTAGCTCGCCTCTTGAATTTAAGACGCCTTTTGAAGTGTTTGAACTTTCAGAGTTCTCGACTCGAGGCTCGTTCTGGGCTCCATCGGTCCGCAGTAGTTCTTCCAGCAGCTCCCAGCTCAACATGTGACGTAAGAAAAAAATAAAGCACATGATCATCTCCAGTGCCTCTCTGCCCACCTTCAGACACCACTGGAACTCCGCTTCAGATGTAAACATACGGGCATGGTTCAGTTTTAATGGCTTTAATAATAAAATACAGTCAAATGTCGTCGCTTTGTGTTTATTTGTAACAAAAGCACTTCACGAAGATCTGAAACGAGAAACGAACGTTCCTGTCGAGGAGCGAGCCCATCGACGAGATCCTGCCGAGCCGTCACTGAGCGTGGACCAGAGCGCCGGCTCCTTGGCCGTAACCAAACCCTTTGGGGCCGAAGTTCTTGGCGTAACAAGCTGTAAGAGAAAAGCAAAACTATAAATCCTAATCTGGATTATACTACAATACGTTTGAAATAATGGAATGAGGTGATTTGCAAAACCTGAAATTATTTTAGCTATTCAGGTGCAAAAATATGTTTATCATTAATAACAGCCTTTTAAATATACAGGACAACCTTTGGGAATTAAAGAATCGTTCGGGACATGCTTTGGTAATTCATGAAGCGTTTGATAAGTACTCGAAGAACTCAAATTCCTGGAGGACTCGTAGATGATTTAAAATAAATCAGATCCTAACAATTCTCAATATGAGCTGTAAAAGACTGATGATCATAATACGTAAGGGTTTCTAGTGTTTCATGTAGTAGATACGACACGTTCAAAGATCCAGTTTTGAGGAAAAATGTTTAAGCTAAACTAAAACTGAAGCCTGGCCGTGCACGGTACTTTTGTTTTCGTGCTCCATAACTCATTTCTACAGGACTTCCATGTTTTCTTTCAAATCATACAGAAAAAAATAGTGTTGGACATCAAGTGTCAGTAGGAAAAATCTCCAAAAATCATCAAACTTCAACTGTGTTTGTATAAAACCAGTAAAAGGCATTAAAAATGCTGGTTCAGACACACAAGCCCAACTTTCTGTGACCAGTTTTAAGAGTGTTTCAAGACTGGAAGAGATGAAACTGCACTGACTGAGAAAGAAAAATGTATTTATTTATTCCCCTTCACCAGGCAAATCCCAGTGAGATCACAGATCTGTTTTGTGAGGGAGGCCTGGGCCCAAAATAAATTACACTCGAGGCCGGATTAACCATATGGGCAACTGCCCAGGGGCCCATGATCTCTAAGGGGCCCAAGGCAGTGAGGCCACAAGCAAAATATCTGGTTATCTCCTGCTTTACTTGGAGTCCTGCATTGCATTTGTGCAGCTCCACCTCCACCCAGCGCAGCTGCTGCACCCCGTTTTTTTTTTTTTCATCGGATCCTCGATGGCGCGACCTGTCAATCAACTCAGAAGGCGTGTCAGTAACTGACCAATCGACGACCTCAATTTGTCCCGAAGGTAAATGCCCCTTACCTGTTGACAAGCTCATCAGGTTTTTTTCTTGAGAAACATTGTTTTAATTAAAACAATAAGTTTTATCTGTTGTGAAATGATTTTAGCAGTTTTGCAGATTTTTAATCCACTTAATGAAGAATAGTACGACTTAAAATTGTTCATCAAACAGGAAGGAGGGATTATTATGTCTCCTCTTACTACAGTAAATGTGATACTTTGCTATAAGTATGACTATATGACATCAGAGAAAGCTGAGCTTCAGTTATCCACATAAAGTAAAATATCAGCATCAAAAGAATGAATGTTAAGTTTGAGATTAATCCAGTTTCTGATGTCTGACCAAACACTTTGTATTGACATGAAAAAAACATACTTGAGGGATTCATCTTGTGATTTACAAGACACACAAATCAACATCAAATTTAAATCTTTGCAGAAACATGGCTACAGGATATATCTTAATTATTATTTTAAAATTATTCTCCTTCACTTTAGGAGATTTAGTCCATTTGACAATATTAAAATGAGCAGAAATCATTATGGTTCTATGATTTATACTGGGAGGTTTCTTGAAGGAATCTTTGTTGTAATCAGTAAATCCTTTGTCACAAACATTCATTGATAATCTTATTGCATTTGAAGTCAACTAAGTTACAGATATTTAATTTTAATTTGGGCATCAAATTTGAGACCCTGTGTACATAATTTCACTCCACCACATGAGTTTTTTTTTTTTTTTTTTTTTTTTTTCAGTTTATTTATATAGCGCCAAATCACAACAAAGTTGTCTCAGGGCACTTTTACCCTGAAAGAGTGACCACTGGCCTGGAGATGAGGAAAAATCCCAAAAGGATGGCCCAGCACAGAAGATCAACATCATCAGGCCAGGACTCTGCGGTCTACACTCATCTCCAGGCCAGCGGTCACTCTTTCAGGGATGAAGATGTTCACATCCTGGACAGAGAGGAACGATGGTTTGAGGGAGGAGTAAAGGAGGCCATCTTTGTGAAAAGAAACCGTCCATCATTAAACAGGGGTGGAGGCCTCCGGGTTCAACTGTCCCCCTCTTACAATGCTGTGATTGCTAGTATCACTCAGCCCTCTATGAATAATAAACAGCCATCAGTGTGCTAATGATCCATTGTTAGACTGATGGTCCTTCTTGAGCATGTGATCAGCTGGTTTTGGTTGTCAGCAGCAAAACTGGTTGATCCACTCTGAGAAGGTGCTATTTAAGAGACTGAGCTGAATACAGCACCTCAGACTGAGGAAGTCTCTCGGATGAGAGACGAAACGTTTCTATATTTTTTTGCTTTGTTTTTTTTTTTTTTGAATGTCCAGAGGACCAGATTGAACTTTTTTGGATATCACAAAAGTTGTTGTACAATAAGTTTAATGCTCAAGAACAGGTTTCCAAAGTTGGGAGTTTAAAAAAATACCAGGTGTGTCGTGAAATGAACACCAGAAATCATATTAAAATTAAAACAAGTCCTGCTGGCATATTTTTTTTATTACTTTAATTTTTGTGTTGTCATTGGTGCCATTACTGCCTGAACGCTGACTCAGCATTCTGTTTCCCTGTTTTTTTCATTTCCCCCATGTTTTTTGCAGTCTAACATCTTCGGCATAGTTTATGGTAATTTAGCCATTCATGCTTCAAAACGTTCGGCTCGTTCAGGTGACGGGTGCTGTGACTTTTGGTTTTTGTAACTTTTATACTTTTAAAAATAATTATCTTATTTACAAATACATTCCCTACATAAACAGAGATTTATTCTTCTGTTGCTTTAAAAAGATTTTCTAAAATCAGCTTCAGCATTTTTGCTCATTTCCAGCTTAATCTTCCACTTTTTTTTGCTACTTTTAGCTTTAAGCTAGCGTTATTTTTACTTTATGCTTCTAGTTAGCTTTTTGAAACATCACGTCTCCAACAGAACTGTTGAGCTTTGTCAGCTAAGAGAACAACATCACAGCAGGGTTTCATGATGACACTGAGCAAACATCCATCAGCTGACGCCCGCGTGTCTTCACTTTAACTAAACATGAGAGGAAGCATTGTGAAGGTCTGATTACAGATGTTTCCAAACAGCTGCTAGCTGCATATGGGCTGATGTCATCCAGCCAAACACTTACAGTATCACCCTTATCTGCCGTGACAGACTGTGTTGATGTAAGAGCCACGTGGACTTGGATGTGATCACCTCAGATGACCTCATACTGGGAAAACAAGCAAGTGTCCTCAATAAGTTCAGACAAATAAAACAGCTAATTTTAACAGCTGATATGATTTATATGATCCGTCAGGTAAACAAACAGCTGGAAAACGAGTCAAAGATATCTGTAACAAACTCCAAGATCAAAAAGCTTTGGAAGAAAACATCTGTATGGAAAAGGCTAGAAATGCTAAAAACTGACAGAGCTCAAGTTAAACCTGAATGATCCAGTAAAAATCAGCGATCCGAATAAAATTGTGGTGCAGAAAAATTTTGCGTTGTTGACACAGATCCAGGACTTACAAGAAGGAATTGTCAAACCAAACGGTTTGAATGAAAAGACCAAGAAAATGCAGGGAACAAACCGACAACACAGCTTTGAATACAAAAATGGAGGTGTTGAGAATAAATATAGAAGCTGAAGATTAAATGATGTCGGAGCACCCAACAATGAAAACAGGAAAAAATGATTGCAATCTGAGAACAAGAAAAATATGCAGATCCTCGAGACACTTGGCACATGAAAATCCACCAAAATTTTGTAGATCCGTACAGGAGTCCTAAATAATGCTAACCAGAATTGGAGAACGCTTGCGCTGATGATTCCTAAAATGCTCAAAGACCACAACTTCTTGTCTGAGTTTAAAAGTTTTAATTTTATTAAGTAAGTGATTGGATTCATGAAGTTTCAACTAGTATCAGCATATCTGGAAATTTATCCTATGTTATCTAATACCAGCATGTCATAAAAGCAAATACAAAGAAGAAAGAGTATTTGTCCAAACACTCAAACTTGAGGAACTCCATGACTACGTGATGGAAATATATTATTATTGATCTCATCGATAATCAGCTTCCTCCCAGGCTTTGATCGAGGTGGCAGCTTCTGTTTCTCCTCCCCCGTTTTTTTCCTTCTTCCTGCTCTGCTCTCTGTCTGTCTGAAGCGCCTGGGTCTCATCTCCCGAACATAAATTAAGAAGATTATGGATTTGGTATCGTGGGCGTTCAACTCTATTGAAAAGATTTTTTCATCAAAGCGACAAGGTCCTGGGGAACCTGTGTGTCCAGCTGAGACTCACGCTGTGGGGTACGTCATGGATTTGTGGGGAATGTGGCAGATGATGTGCCTCTCAGTTCTGTCTCAGGAGGATGTTGAAGACGTTTACATATTTGGACTTATGATAGCAGGGACTGTGCTTTTTGGCATCGGCGGGGCTCTGTTTTATCGACTTTTGAAGAAGACATCGGGAGCAGTTTTGGCCATGGAAAAGCTTCCGAGTCAGTGTGAAGGTCTGGTCCTCGCTGTGGGAACTTTAAATCATCTGGTTTACAAGCTTAACCGTAAGATGGAGGCGATTGGGAATCGCAGACCACCTGCGGCTTCTGGGACTCGTCAGCGTGGTGGGTTCGACCTTGAAGGAGACTCATAGCATGGATCAGTGGAATGGAATCCCACAGTTAGGCATTTTCGGAACCAGAACGGCCAGATGGACTCTAGGCTGAGTACCCAAGGACAAAAGCTCCATCTATTCCCCCCCCCCCCCACCCCCACCCCCACCCCTGAGAACTTTCTGTGCAGGCTTATCAGAACTGCTGGCTGGAACAACATCTTCAGAAACTGTGGCTGATCTGAAATAACGTTCATGGACAAATCTCAACACCTTGATGTCAAATACAAATGTAATCATGTTTTAACTGTGCTGCTGGTAGAGTTTTTTGATGTCTCAAATCGTGTCCTGATA